ATGAAGCTCAAACTTGGAGAACCAATACAATCGTCGTCAAAACAGTAGAAATATTTATGAACAATTGTCCACACAAGATACAGCCTATTGTGGGAGAAGATAAACCAACTTCCATCTAAAGAGGAAATTAGAAAAAGACGATGGAGATGGTTGGTGAGACATATATTACGGAAACCATCAAACTGCATCACGAGGAAACCCTTAAAGTGGAGTCCTGGACGGAAATGGAAGAGAGGAAGGCAAAGAAACATACAGCTCTGAGAATTGTGAGCAGATATTAAAACGGATGAATAGGCCTTCAAAATGATTAGGAAGGAAAACACAGTACGAATTCGGTTGACGAACGCTGGTGTGCGGTCTATTCTATTCCACGAGAGTGAACAGGCATAAGTAAATAAGTGAATGAGTGAGTAAGTAAGTAAATGATTAAGTAAGTAATCGGATAAGTGAGTAAGTGAATAAGTAAGTAATTAAAACAAGTGGAGTAAGTAAAGTAAAGTAAAGAAGAAGGGATCCATTGATAATATTGTTTTTGTGTGCTTCGGATTGTCCTAAGGAAGTGGTGGCCAAGGGGTTAATGTGTTCGACTTTTAGCTATTAGGCCTTGAGTTAGAACCTTTACCCCGCCTAACTTGATTTGTGCAACCGAGTGAAATCATCATCCCACACACTTAGAGTGTGTTTCATGCTCAGATAATTAGCGAATGACTTATCTTATTATTTTCACAGTTGAAATCATGAGTCAATTGAAGCTAGACCACCATCGAAAACCTGGAAGCACTGGACGACCGTTTCGTCCTATTATGGAACTCCTCAGCAGTGCGCATCCATGATCCCGCACTCATGGAATTCGAACCCAGGACCTATCAGACTCGAGCAGGAGCCCTTAACCGATAGACTACTGAATTGGCCGGCATGCAACGGTATTAATGCCTAACTTCAACCAATCCACGATTTTGAGCGACCGTTCATAAATTGTCTTCAGTGAGCTGATATCTCTACAACAGACTTGGCAAAAATATTTGTAGAAATACTTGTAGAGATATCAGCTCACTGAAGACAATGGATGAACGGTCACTCAAAATCGTGTATTGGTTGAAGTTAGACATGAACACTGTTGGATACCGGCTCAGTAGTTTATCGGTTAAGTGCTCTGTCGCGAGACTGGTAGTTCCTGGGTTCGGACCTCGTGAGGTCGGATAGTGGATGCGCACTGCTGAGGAGTCCCATAATAGGACGAAACGGTCGTCCAGTGCTTCCAGGTTTTCCATGATGGTTTAGTTTCAATTGACTAATGATTTCAACCGTGAAAATACTAAATTCTCAACAAAACCCCCTCTGATTTAACTTATTATGTTTATTATTACTGATATAAACAATTATTTGATGAATATATTTGTTCACTCAAGACTTTCAAAGAGTATACTTAATAATTAAACCAGTAATGAAAAAAACAGGCTTAGCATCGGAAGTAAAATCACCAGAGAATAAAATCGTATGTACATACATAAAGTAAGTTTTTGGTACAAATAAATCGTGGCTAACAAGGAAATCCAGGAAATACGTTTCGCCCATCTTATGAAATACCTTTTGGATGTATTTACATCCTGGTATCAGCGTTCATATTGGGACTCGTAATCAGTGCCCTGATCTCCAAACCCCAAAACTTTATGGATCAAACTACTGATCTGTGTAACAAGATATCCATTCTAAAAACTCGTTACAAAATTCCTTATTAAAGAAATCTTATCAGGATTTACATTTAAATTCAACTTAGTATTGTTTGTTTGAATCTTCCCATCGATTTGTTAGGACTGCAACTGGTCAGTCTCTAATTGGCATATGTGCATACTGTGCGTATTGCCTCGATATACCTTAATTCACAAGCATGGTTAGCAGAGATGGATAGTGGCTAGCAGTGGAATCCAGGACGCGCGTTTCGTCCTATTTGGGACTCGTCAGCTGGATGTACCTGCTAGCCACTATCCATCTCTGCTAACCAGGATTTACATTTGTTAAGAAAGATCAATTGCCATTTCGACCCAAATATCAACAGTAGGATAATTCAAACCTTACTAAAAATAGTGTATGAATAACATGGTTAATCATTTATAAGTTTATCGACTTTATAAACTGTAAGTCCAATACTACCTTATAAAAGATGAAAGTTATGATGACAACTACCATAAAGACAAATGAGCTATAGAATAAGATGAAGTAGAAATTAATCGTACCAAGTAAATTGATCTAATTTCGACTTATTATTTGTCCTAACTAGTCTGAGCCACGTTGGTAGACGTAAACTACTTGGTTGAGGTCCGCGTGACTATCGTAACCAATGGTTGGAGACTCTAGGTGATATGGCTCAGAATCGATCACAATGGCGTAGGTGTATACACTCTTTATCTTCTCTTAAACCTTGAGATTAAAGCTGCTTCATAACTTTCTTCCTTCCTATACTATATCCTTATATACAATCTTTCTTTTATATATTACCACCACTAAATGAACTACTTCTATGAATCCGGTGTTCATATTGTTGTGCTAACGAGGTATGGCAACTTGGACCGATGCATATATGTGCCTGGTCCTACGTTGTAGCTGACTGACTGAATGTTATTTGCCCTTAAATAAAGACCATGGCAATTGGCAATCCAGCACGTAGAGATAAAAGAAATCACAACTAGGGTACATTTAAACAAGTTATTCACTGATTGCAAAATGTATCCTTACTTTTGGTGAACAAGAATGTTAACCGATTTTTATAAACAGAAGATGATAATGTCCTGACTATTGCTGAGTAATTTAAGATACGATTTAAGCAGTAGGATTTCAATATAACTATGGGGAAATTAGGTCTATCTAAATCAATAAATGCCCTCAAATGCTCTGGTATGGTCGAGAGTGGGAAGGGGCCGCCCTCCCTCTCGATGACAACAGGACGTTTTACTGTCCATTTTAGGCATATTGATATCTTATCCTGTAAAGATCAAAGCATTCTTTATAGTCCAATGACACTCTATCTTCTAAACAATAGAAGCAATAGTAGGTCGAATGAATACATTGACAAACATTTGAACGGTACCTTATTACAATGTGCAAACAGAAAGCCTAAATCTAACCTTCGTATTCAGAAAAAGTCAATGTTCAACCTTTAACTGAGCTTTTAACAAGCTAAACATTCTGACCTGTTCTAGGTCTTGTTATTCAACAAATTAACATCACATTCTGGTGACGTCATATATATTTTTCTTTCCAGACCTTCTAACTTTCTGGTATATTACGTAATAACAAAATTATTACAGGCAATCTAGAACAGTCATTTCAAGTACCTATGAAACCCTGCTGAAACATAAAGACTACCTATTGTTTATACAGATGGTTTGTGAAGGGTGTTGGATTTCTATAGTTTACATCACAATATGATATTAGTTAGACAAAAATTGAAAACGAGAAAGCACTACGCATGTTTCATCCTTGTACACGACTCCTAGGCAGCTCAGCCTCATCACAAAAGATAGGACCCAAAACCCTCAGTATTAATGATAAATCCTAACTTCTAAGGGCCTGAGCTGGTATCCAGTGATGAATACTTCATTTCTTCTAAATATAAATTATGTATTTATCTGAAGAGAAGACAACGAAATACAACATGAATCCGTGGTATTCGACATTTAGCGCAGTTATTTATGCACTAAATATTCTTTGATAATGTTAATATCCATTGTATTTCCCCCTACTCTGATAAGATTCGAACCTGAACCGCAGGATAAAACGTTGAAATCAGCTAAATTTCAATCACTGAGATGATATAAATACAATTATTACATCTAATTGAGTTCTATTGTTTATGTTATAACCTGATGAGAATAATGATTGGTATCTGTTAGAATCTATTTTTGGACTAATACTATACATATAAATAACTAAACTATTCATATTTATGTTACCCTTATTATGAGCTTTATTTTGACCAATGAACTATTATAATACGATTTACCATCCTTGAGTTATACCCAGTCTATTGATTACAGTCTCCCACATTCATAGTCACATTCGGCTAGATCTTGTTCAGATGTTGTTTTCTATTTTACGTTGTGATGTGGTCTGTTTGGTTGGTAACATAAACACAGTATGTCTGAAATACATGTTTCATATTACAGAGGCTGAAATTGATGTTCCGAACTTAACAGGCAAGAGTAGCCAGGAAGAAGAACCGATAAGTACCCTAGACTACTATAATAACCATCATAATTGATAAAATCATAGAAAATGTATTTAAAGAAAAAAATTTTCCTTCATAATCAGAAGGGGTTTTTTTGTACAGATTTTAGTAATTTCATAGTTGAAATCATGAATCAATTGAAGCTAGACCACCATAGAAAATCTGGAAGTAGTAGATAGCCATTTCGTCCGAGTGTAGCACTCCTCAGCCGTGAATATCCACGAATCCCACACGGGACTCGAACACAGGACCTGTCAGAATATCTATTCCCCTACTTCACCTTGGACTTCTTCCTCTATTTAGCGGGGCCTAGGACAACGGATTAGATTAGCCTGTTTTGTCACTGTGTCATTGGCCTTCGTCCGTTATCGAGAAAATCGACTTAGCTCAAGCATATCAATTTTATAGTTGAAATCATGAGTCGATTGAAACTAGACCACCATGGAAAACCTGGAAGCACTGGTCGACCGTTTCGTCCTATTGTAGGACTCCTCAACAGTGCGCATTTACGATCTCGGCTTGTGAGATTCGAATCCAGGACCTATCAGTTTCGTGCACGAGCGCTTAACCTCTAGAACCACTGAGCCGGCAGGTATCCAACAGTGTTAATCTCTAACTTCAACCAATTCACGAAATTTAGCAACTACAAAATTACTAAAATTATATGCTCACTAGTGATTGGTTTCAAAAGATATTCCTTGAAGTTCTAGTAAGAAGCAGTTTCCTTCATAAATCCACAAAACAAAAGAAAGAGAAAACATTCATTAAAACTTACAAATCCATAACCTCGACTTTTTCCTGTTTGTCTATCAGTGATTACAACAGCTTCATCAATTGGACCAAATTGATCAAAAAAACAACGTAAACTTTCATCAGTTGTATGATATGGTAATCCACCAACAAAAATTTTTGTTAAAGTTGTATCTTTTTGATAATTTGTTGACATAATAATAATAATAATAAGAAGAAGAAGAAGAAGAAGAAGAAGAAGAAAAAGAAGAAATAGTCTATTCAATCAAGAGGATTATTATACATATACAATCGTTTGATTCATAAACCCAAATTGATTTGTTTCTATGCTTTAAAAAATGATCATTTGAAATGGTAAATATAAATAATGAACTCTAATCTGTAATTAACCAATAGAATTTGAGGTGTGCAGCTCTCTCTCTCTCGCGCGCGCTTAATCTGTAATATGATTGGTTAAATTCTAAATTAATATTGTGCATATAAGTGAATATTTGATTGGTTAATATAAATAAATGTCCTTACAATTAATTTATGAGTATTATATTAAATAACCAATAGAGAATAATATAAATATCTATTTAATAGGTTAATTAAAATGATGAATATATTAGTCTTTTGTGTATAGTGACTGGCTTCATGAGATATTTCCTAGAATTCTAGTGATAAGTAGTAACCAGTGAAGTTCAACGAGGTCTGTTGGGAGATATCAACTCACTGAAGACATTTGGTGAATATGTAGCTCAATTTCGTGGATTGGTTGAAGTTAGACATTAACACCGTTGGATGCCAGCCGGTTCAGTGGTCTAGAGGTTGATTGCTGCGGTGCGAGACTGGTAGGTCCTGGGTTGAAATCTCGCGTAATGGGATCGTGGATGCGCACTGCTGAGGAGTCTCATGATAGGACGAAACGGTTATCCAGTGCTTCCGTGTTTTCCATGGTGGTCTAGTTTCAATTGACTCATAATTTCAATTGTATAAAATTACTAAAATCTCCACAAAATCCATTTCTGATAGTTTGAATTGTATTATAGAAAGAAGAAATCATCATTTTAAGAGTTAAATACTAATTGTAAAAGTTTGATTGAAATCATGAATCGAGTGATGTTAGACTATCATTGATAACCTGAAAGTTCTGAATAGTCGTTTCATCATATTGTGGGTCTCATCAGCAGTGCGCATCCAAGATCCTGTCCGCTGGATTCGGACTCAAGGCTTTCGGTCCCGCACACGGACGCATAACCTTTACACCACTGAGCCGGCATCCAATGGCGTTAATGCCTAACTTCAACCAATTTACGAAATTGCGCAATCATCTTCCGTTTTCTGAGGTAGATAACTTCCTCTACCTGACACAGATTAGCTCCACTGGTCACGTCTTCTCATTGGAACTTCGAGAATGACCTCATAAAGCTAGTCACTAATAAACACATGGTATTAGTATGATATATCTGAACTAACGACCTAATGATTGTCAATCTAACCAAAAGCGGGTTTTGTTGAATTTTTTAGTAATTTAATAGTTGACTTCATGAGTCAATTGAAGCTAGACCACTATGAAAAACCTGGAAGCACTGGATGGCCACTAGTGCTAAACCTCAGCATAAAAAGTTCAGATAAAGTGTATTATATGTTCTGATCTGTTGCAATAAGAAGCTTATGAAATTTATGTAATATTAAGTTGATCTTCTGGTTAGCGTTTTTTTTAGCGAGTTAGCTTTTCTACGGGATGGGGTCGCTAACCCCATGCCCAACCCTCCTCCTTTACCCGGGCTTGGGACCGGCAGTAACTCTAGAAGAGCTACAGGCGGAGTCCAGTAAGGACCGGAGTCAGACAAGGCTGTCTACTCTCCCCATTCCTCTTCCTTCTAGTGATTACCTGGATTATGAAGAATTCGACATCTGGAGGGAAATACGGAATACAATGGACTTCTCAGAATCAATTAGATGATTTGGACTTCGCAGATGACCTAGTCCTCCTCTCTCATACACACGACCAAATGCAGATGAAGACAGCAAATGTAGCAGCAGCCTCCGCATCCATAGGCCTCCACATTCACAAAGGAAAAAGCAAGATTCTCAAATGCAACACGGAGAACACCGACCCAATCACACTTGATGGCGAAACTCTGGAAGAGGTGGAAACATTCAAGTACCTGGGGAGCATCGTTGATAAACAAGGGGGATCGGATGCAGATGTAAAGGCGAGGATTGGCAAAGCAAGGGCAGCATTTCTACAATTTAAGAACATATGGAACTCAAAACAACTCTCAACCAATTTCAAGGTCAGAATCTTTAATACGAACGTCAAGACAGTCACTTCTACTTTACGGAGGGAGCTGAAACGTGGAGAACTACTACGACCATCATCAGGAAGGTACAAGTATTTATAAACAATTGTCTACGTAAGGTAATCAACATCCACTGGCCGGATACTATCAGCAACAGTGTTTTATGGGAGAGGACAAACCAGCTTCCAGCTGAAGAGGAAATTAGGAAAAGACGTTGGAAGTGGATCGGACATACATTGAGGAAATCACCAATGTGCATCACGACTCAATCCCTAACTTGGAATCCGGAAGGGAAGCGGAAGAGAGGAAGGCCAAAGAATACACTACGCCGGGAAATAGAAGCCGATATGAAAAGGATGAATGTTAACTGGAAAGAACTGGAAAGGAAGGCTCAGGACAGAGTTGGATGGAGAATGCTGGTGAGCGGCCTATGCTCCTCCACAAAGGGTAACAGGCGTAAGTAAGTAAGTTGATTTTCATTGAGAACCGAAATTCCATGGGGAATTAATAAAATTCACACAATACTAAACAAGTGTTTAAACCATCTTCAACTCCATCCTGGTTCAGAGCAGGAAGACCGATAATCGTCCTTAGTGATTACTCCCAAATCGCGTATAAGGGGTATATAAATTAGTTAAACAGTTGTAAGGAGAGGTTTGGTTAAAGATGATCCTAAATATTTTACATTAAACTACATAAATGAAATGTAATAGAATTGCTCGATTTCGGTATGTTTGACTATTCCACTAAACTATCAACTAGTCATACACATTAAAGACGAATAGGGATTTACATAGTTGAATGTAAATTTCCATGTACATATAAAAATTGTAGCTCTGGTTGATAGAAGGTGAATCGGCCTAATGATTTCCGAAGGAACTCGGCTTTGATCATGAGATATCATAATTATTCCTTCTACTCCCAGGGCAGAGTTTAAATGGTTTGAATAATTTTTTTGATTAACATTTTTTTAGCGAGTTAGTTTTCTGCTAACCTCATGCCCAAACCTCCTCCTTTATCCGGGCTTGGGATCATCAGTAGCCGCCGGAGGAGCTACAGGCAGAGTTTGGATGTAAATTAAAGAAAGTAAAACCTGATGTTCTTTATTTTCAGTTAAATTGAAAATTAAAATACTTAAGTAAATCTAGTCATCTTCTAACTAGTGACTCTCCGTTATTAATCAAAGAATTCTACCGAATAATTAACACATTATTTCTTCCACAACCGTAAATAAGAAACAAGGACAAGTGTCACCATGTCAGCGTTTAAGATTTAGTTTAAACTGTTGTTATATCTGTTTCAGCTATTACTTATACTTGGCAAACAAGGAACCATTACAATCCCCACAACACGAAGTAAGAACACAGTCGATTGCTACAAGTGAACGGTTATTTACTCTAAAACACTACGACCCTAGTCGAAAATACACTAATTTATGTATTGTTATTAATTAATGGTTATTAACTAGAAAGGAGATACATATGTATGAAACCGTACTGTCATGCTTAACAGAGATCATGTTAAATTTACCTAATATTGTTTACTTGAATCTTCTCATTGATGTTTAGGACTACAATTGATCAGTCTCTTATTAACATATGTGCATACTGTGCGGATTGACTCGATATAGTCTTAATTCACAAGCATGGTAAGCAGAGATGGATAGTGACTAGCAGTGGAATCCAGAACACGCGTTTCGTCCTATTTGGGACTCGTCAGCTGGATGTACCTGCATCTCAGAATCGATATTCACTCTGAGACTCGAACCCAGTACATTTCACTTCAAAAGCCATCGCGTTATCCACTCAGCCACTGATTCCTGATAGCCACTTGCTTGTGCAATGGGGTGAAGTTCAAATTCATTTATTATTGTTGGTTTGAATCTTCCCGTTGATGTTTAGGACTGCATCTTTGCTAACAATATCAGTAGTAAAGTTTCTTATTGAAAATGTCAAATGACATCAGTGAAAATCTCCTTGGAATTTCTTGTAACGCCCTTTTGATGAGTATACTATACTATTCATCAACAGGGAGTTACAAGAAAAGTATAATCAAAATCTGGGCGAATAGATTTTCTAATATTTGCTTTCAATCAACTAAAATATAACAGAATTATACCGTTTTGTTTAATTAAATAATTTACCATATACATTACACGTTTAAACATGTACGTTGTCATATTATCTACAGATTAGTGGAGAACAACTAAAAAATTAACACCCTTTTGTTTACATAGTTGAAAGCATGAGTCAATGGAAGCTAGACCACCAAAGGAAAACTTGGAAGCTCTAGATGATCGCTCTGTTCTAGTATGAGACTCCTCAGAAGTGTAGATCCACGATTCCTCATGCAGGATTCTGACCTAGTACCTTAGGACTCGCGCACGAAAGATCAACCTCCACACCATCGAGCCAGCATCTAATGCTGTTAATGTCTAACTTCAACCAATCCACAAAACTGTGTGACCATATTCTATTGTACTGAAGTAGATAACTTTCTCTACCTGACACAGATTTGCTCTACTGATCACAGCTTCTCACTGAAACTCCGAGAATTCCCTCACGAAGCCAGTCATTAGTGAGCACATGATGGTTATTATCATGAATTCATCTATCACATTCATACAATCTCCATAAAACCCCTTTCTGATAAAAATTCTGAAGTGTTTATAAATTAATTGCAAAGATATAATAATGAGAATTAGAATGAATGGAAAGGATGTTATCTTCAAGTTTTGCCCCCAAATGCCCTGGTACGGCCGAGAGTGGGAAGAGTCTACTCTCCCTCTCGAAATGCTCTCATATGGCCAGCGAATATATAGCCTCTGCCAGGGAAGTCCTACTCACTGCCTTCTCGTGGCGGGGGTGTTGTTTACGAAAGTGATAGGACGAAAAGCGAATGTCCGGCG